ACTACACGTACCATATAAGAGGCCATTAGATAAGGACTGTACTGTCCTATAGGTACCATATAACAGGCCATTAGATCAGGACTGTACTGTACTACACATACCATATAACAGGCCATCAGATAAGGACTGTACTGTACTACACGTACCATATAACAGGCCATTATATAAGGACTGTACTGTACTACACGTACCATATAGCAGGCCATTAGATAAGGACTGTACTGTACTACACGTCCCATATACCAGGCCATCAGATAAGGACTGTACTGTACTACACGTACCATATAACTGGCCATTAGATAAGGACTGTACTGTACTACACGTCCCATATACCAGGCCATCAGATAAGGACTGTACTGTACTACACGTACAATATAACAGGCCATTAGATAAGGACTGTACTGAACTACACGTACCATATAACAGGCCATTTATATAAGGACTGTACTGTACTACACGTACCATATCACAGGCCATTAAATAAGGACTGTACTGTACTACACATACCATATAACAGGCCATTATATAAGGACTGTACTGTACTACACGTAACATATAACAGGCCTTTAGATAAGGACTGTACTGTACTACACGTAACATATAACAGGCCATTAGATAAGGACTGCACTGTACTACATGTACCATATAACAGGCCATTAGATAAGGACTATACTGTACTACATGTACCATATAACAGGCCATTCGATAAGGACTGTACTGTACTGCACGTACCATATAACAGGCCATTAGATAAGGACTGTACTGTACTACATGTACCATATAACAGGCCATTCGATAAGGACTGTACTGTCCTGCACGTACCATATAACAGGCCATTAGATAAGGACTATACTGTACTACACGTCCCATATAACAGGCCATTAGATAAGGACTATACTGTACTACACGTCCCATATAACAGGCCATTAGATAAGGACTATACTGTACTACATGTACCATATAACAGGTCATTCGATAAGGACTGTACTGTACTGCACGTACCGTATAACAGGCCATTAGATAAGGACTGTACTGAACTACACGTAACATAAAACAGGCCATTAGATAAGGATTGTACTACATGTACCATATAACAGACCATTAGATAAGGACTGTACTGTACTACACGTACCATATAACAGGCCATTATATAAGGACTGTACTGTACTACACATACCATATAACAGGCCATTATATAAGGACTGTACTGTACTACACGTATCATGTAACAGGCCTATAGATAAGGACTGTACTGTACTACACGTACCATATAACAGGCCATTAGATAAGGACTACTGTACTACAAGCACCATATAACAGGCCATTAGATAAGGACTGTACTGTGCTGCACGTACCATATAACAGGCCATTAGATAAGGACTGTACTATATTTTTATATGGAAATAGAAAATAGAGAGGAAGAAAAGACGGAGATAGAAATGAAGTAAAGGATAGTAAAACAGGTAGAGTCGCAGAAAAAAGAGTGATAGAGAGAGAAAGATGATCACATTCAGCCAAACCGTTTGCATTTGCTTATATAGTTTTGAACAGATTTTGCAACTGAGGTATTTTCATCTTTGCTGAATTTAAGATTGCCATATAGGAGCAAGGCTAAAGTTAAATCATCATGAAAAGGTTGTAACTCTCTTATTAATAGATTTCGATGCTGGGTGTATAGGGAACGGACACAGATCTAAAGGAAGAAATTTCCAAACCTTTCACTCCACTATATATGTGCAAGTCAGCCAAAATAAATACATCATTGAGAAAAAATATGTTATTTGATATTTGTCATCTGTTTGTTCCATATATAGTAAGATACACCTCCTCTGTAGCAGCTTTTGACTACTGTACAAGCAGATTTATAACTTTTAAGAGATATTGTCACAAGACTTCAGAGGATCTGCTTTTACCTACCAATGTATATTGTATTATAACGTTTTGCATAGCACTATACATGTATCAACTAGATCAATTTGTAATTATCTTCCATCTCTGACAAGCGATACCAATGAAGAGACGATGACAAAATCTCTATCAATGTACATACTGGACTCTGATTTATATAGCCACTGGGCCAGTTCTCAGAAAATGCTTTTTTTCCCAAACAACATTTTTATTTCCAGTTTCTACTTAATATAAACATTGATGATGATGTTAAATCATGGGAAATACTCTATATTGTTCTCAAATTCATACAAATCATACCTTTTATAGAGCAAACATTTATCCAAATAACATCGGTTATAGAAACAGAAATTCATCCAATAAAATCTGTCATGGAACCAGAAATTCATACAAATAACCCTGCCTTTGAAACAGAAATTCATGCAAATTTAGTAAGGTCAACCTGAAGTGGTCTTATAAATCTTCACTAAATTCACTATATTTCAGTTTGCACTACCAGGCTTCCTACCTTTGATTGTATTAGTGCTACACACGCACACCGAGAGGTGTTTACTGGAGTTTACAATTCACCAATCACATTTACAATGCAAAGACAGTAAAAGTAAAATGCTCACAAAACATAACTTTTCTACTATCTTCAATAACATTCATCAGTTTGGAAATAAGTAATATCAAAATGTTACTTTATAAACAAACAATGTACTATTAAACAGGTTACAACATTTCAAGACTGACTTGTCCCTTCATCAAGCTATGACTGAGTAACGATTTGTATTGTTTACCTGTACAATGATGTGATGAAATTCTATCGATGGACAGTGTATACATGTACACACTGTATTGAACAGGAAGACAAAACAGAACTTCTCTACAGTAAAACTTACACTGCTGAGGAGGAACAGTTGTGGGGAAATTAGTCATGTATTCATTTCTCCTGTCTGGCATTGGTTGTAGACAGCACTGACAGAGAACGTGTGTCTGATTTATTGCACAACTGTAAGCAGGGGCCGTGGGCATCACCTTTACATCTGGGTCAGGCTGTTCTCCACTTGGGCCGGGCTGGGCTAAAATATAGTGTAAATAAAATAAACATAAACAACAGAGCACCAACACAAAAAGTCAAATCTAAAACTCAAAACAAACAGGTAAAGACAACAATAGGAACTTATAAGAAATAGAGGCCAGAATTAATGAAGAGACAGAGAATTCCTGACCCCAAAACTCTGCCAGATTTATAACGATGGTGTAGATAAGAACTATACCGGGTGACTTCACTGATAGGCAAAACATTCGTAGTAGCAACAAAGCAATTAAGTATCAGCTGTTCAAATTGACCATACTACACAGAGTTTGTTTTCTACAGGAAGAAGAAATATATGACATGGACTGTAAGTGTAATTCAACACTGCATTAACAATCACAGAAATAGGCTAAACAAGTCATCTGAGTCAAAGTTGTTACTTTTTGACTTCAATGAAGGCAGTAAATGTGTAAACATTGGATGTTGAATTCAGTGTACTACACAAGGGAGCTCACTCACCTTCGTCTCCTGTAGGTAGCGTAGCCTCACTATCCGCCGACCCAGCGGCTGTATTTGTAGCACCTTCTTTCCCGGCAGTACTAGCTGGATTATCTTGTTTTCCAAAGACATTCATTGCTAAAACATATGTTACAATATTATATTTTCCAAACCTACATTACATTAACAAACCTACATGTGTATACTGCACACAGGGGAACTTACACTCAGTCAAACTTCCGACCTAGGCTATTCAAATTCATATTCATCTACTGTTAATTTTGCCCTTCACATTTATTTATTATGTTAATATGTTATAGCAGTATCTGCATATTTTTACATCAAAAAAGATTTTTTCATATTTTCTTATATATCTTGAATAAGTTTAGTCTCAAAGTACAACCTTTCATATAGATTCATTTATCTATCTATCCACTGATATAAATTCACTTCAATGATAAATTAACTCTCACTACAGAGGGCACAAGAAGTTAGCCGAAAATTGACCTGCAGCAAAACACTCCTGTTATGCAGTATTTCATAAATTTTTAAGCCTGTTGTTATTATGATAATAAACCAACTCTGTACTTTACCCAATGATACAAAGATAGTTAAATAAGTACTGGTAAGTTATCATTCTTATCTAACTCAAGTTACAGGTTTTTTTTAAATGTATAAAGACACAATCTCTATATTACTTGCAGCAAAAAATAGTGGAAACAATTGTATGATTATGAGGCTACCTATGAATCAACTTTTCAATAAATTTGTTAAGGGTTAGGGTTAGACATTTTTTTTTATTTATTTCTATTAGTGCTAGTGTATCTACAAAGAAAATACCACAAAGGGACAGTTCTTTAGTATACACCTACCAAATTTTCCTATGGCACCAAGAACCCCTGTTGTACCGGCTGGCGTGGCGGTGGCTGAGGTACAGGTGTTAGCGGCATTGAGCAGATCCTTGTAATCTGGGCATTGTCTGCACAACGTCTTGGCAGGTCTGGAGATAGAAAGCCAACACTAGATTTCAATCAACCAGTATAAATATCTGATAATTATAAAAGAAGATGTCATCAGGTATCAATCTGTTATCAATAAAAGTAAGATAGTAGAGAAAAAATATTTTTGCGATAGTAGATCATATTTTTCAAATAGCAGCTAAATGGAAATGTCTTTTTGTGACCTCTGTATAAGACTTTAACCTACACTATGTAATGTTACTACAACGATTTGAATCTTAATCATTTACCTTTTTAACAACCTTTTGGTATCCAAAGGTCTCTATATCACACCTTGATCTACATTGTGTGACCACCTCTTCATTACCCTTTGACCTACAATGTGTGACCTCCATATCACTCTTTGACCTACAATGTGTGAGCTTTCTATCACACTATGACCTACAATGTGTGAGCTCTCTATCACACTTTGACCTACAATGTGTGACCTCTATATCACACTATGACCTACAATGTGTGACCTCTCTATCACACTATGACCTACAATGTGTGACCTCGTTATCAAACTTTGACCTACAATGTGTGACCTCTATCACACTTTGACCTACAAAGCGTGACCTTGATATCCCAGTTTGACCTACAATGTGTGACTTGTATCACTCACATTAAGAACTTTATTTTGTGACAACTGTAAATACACAATTTCATACTGTATAAAGTGGACATAGTATAACAAACAGTCATTTATTATACAGATAATAAGTGACCAAACGTTATACGCTAATTATAGTTCAATTAGCATACATGTCTCTAAACGTTGACATTTATTGTGTGATCTATGTTACATGCTGACGTTTATTGTGTGATCTATGTTACATGCTGACATTTATTGTGTGATCTATGTTACATGCTGATATTTATTGTGTGATCTATGTTACATACTGACATTTATTGTGTGATCTATGTTACATGCTGACATTTATTGTGTGATCTCCATATATTGTGATATTTTTTGACAATCACATGAGTACATGGTTATCATATTACACTATTTGTTTATCTCTACACTACATCCTGATTGACCTTTATAAACATTCCTTGGAGGAAAGTGCTGCTGAAGGTACAGGTATTTACTGTTTGAAATTATGACAAATGAAAACAGCACTGATTAACTTACCTGAGAGTTCCAAACACAGGTGTGCCAAACCCTAGCAAAGGAGCTGGTCCAGAACTGAACCTGTCAAGAATGGTTACAAGTTTTATCTACCCACCACACAATAAAAAGGACACTCCTAAGTAATGACTGTCCTATAGTATTTACTTGATATTAACGCACAGCAGCATACATCACCAATGAATTCATTATTCATAGAAAATTAAAATCATCTATAAAATACTGTGACACAATTTTACCTTAATGTTGCAATTATAGTATACTAAGTAATTTACCTCTGGAAATATGAATATTTGAATACAAACTCAATTGTAAATATATTATAGATACAGATTATAAAATGTATTATTATAGTAGTACTTCATCATAAAATCTATAAATAATATATATAACATGCTATATAATCATTCTAATTTCAGTTTTGCAGAAAGGAAATAGCTCATATACTTACGGGAATGTATTTGGAGGCGGACTTTCAACAGGAGAACTGGAGTCAGAGCTGTCTGATTCAGAACTGTCAAAAATGGTCACCTTACGCTTACTTCCTGAATATAACTACAAGATAAGACACAGTATAAGTATGTATGCTCCTACATCAGCACAAACAACCACAAGTCAATGTTCAAAGCTAGTGTATTTCCTAGGTATACCTGTAATTATACATTATCATAGTGTATTTCCTAGGTAAACCTGTGATTATACATTATCATAGTGTATTTCCCAGGTATACCTGTAATTATACATTATCATAGTGTATTTCCTAGGTATCCCTGTAATTATACATTATCATAGTGTATTTCCTAGGTATCCCTGTAATTATACATTATCATAGTGTATTTCCTAGGTATCCCTGTAATTATACATTATCATAGTGTATTTCCTAGGTATCCCTGTAATTATACATTATCATAGTGTATTTCCTAGGTAATACCTGTAATTATACATTATCATAGTGTATTTCCTAGGTAAACCTGTGATTATACATTATCATAGTGTATTTCCCAGGTATACCTGTAATTATACATTATCATAGTGTATTTCCTAGGTAATACCTGTAATTATACATTATCATAGTGTATTTCCGAGGTATACCTGTAATTATACATTATCATAGTGCATTGCCTAGGTATACCTGTAATTATACATTATCATAGTGTATTTCCTAGGAATACCTGTAATTATACATTATCATAGTGTATTTCCTAGGTAATAACTGTAATTATACATTATCATAGTGTATTTCCTAGTTATACCTGTAATTATACATTATCATTATAGTGTTTTTCCTAGGTATACCTGTAATTACACATTATCATAGTGTATTTCCTAGGTATACCTGTAATTATACATTATCATTATAGTGTTTTTCCTAGGTATACCTGTAATTACACATTATCATAGTGTATTTCCTAGGTATACCTGTAATTATACATTATCATAGTGTACTTCCTAGGTATACATGTACCTGTAATTATACATTATCATTATAGTGTTTTTCCTAGGTATACCTGTAATTACACATTATCACCCAAGTAAATGTACAAAAGAATACACAGTCCTTTTTTATCTCGTCAGCCCAAACAAACACGATGCATTGATGTTTATTAACAGTTGTCTGGACATGCTAACTGCAGTATTTATCCATGCTGATTAATATAATCTTTCCCTGGTATGAAGTAGTGATGATGTGATTTAAACCTGAGACATGAAAAATTAAATAAAACCTGATGTGTACCATATCTCTTGATATTTTGTTCTTGGCATCTAATTCCTTTAAATCCTCTTCATCTCTCTTTTTATCTGGAAAACAAGTAAAATTGATAATTCGAGTATTACAATATAGCATTAAATATCTTCAGCATTAAACACATTTAAATGTTACCATAATTATGTGCAAATCTACATTTTCTGTTGACACCATAAGAGGTCACATAATGTCAGCCAATTAGAAATCTGTACCTATGTCTACTTACAAATAACAATTCTCAAGATAACTAAGACCAAATTTAACCATAACCTTATTTAAGTATCATGTATAGAAAGGGAAGCTTCATGAGTATAATAATACAGCAAAAGTGGAAAAACTCATTCATGGAAATTTTCACATCATGAATCTTTAAACTGATCACGATGTGGAATGTTTCACGTTGGCAATGGTTTGCGAATCTATTCTATATTCTTCCTGTCTATACTCTGTATAATCTACAAAGTTAACACATATTCACATTTGGATATTTTTGCGATAATTCACTCAAAGCAAAAAATTGCAAGCTTTCCACTTTACAGAATCTGCCTCCAAAGATCTTTCTATTAAATGAACCTCTATAGATATGCCTATATAGTTATAACTTTTCGTGATCTAAACAAACTGATCATGCATGTTGGAGTACTCACTGGGGTTTTCCTTTAGGTAAGCTTCTATGAGATTGTTGACAATATGATTTTTGTTGATTCTTTCCACCTTCATACGACACTTAATGAAAATAAGAACATTACAAGTATAAGCAAAAGTTTTAATTTTTGAAACTAAAATTTTAGGTGAGTTAATAATTTATAAACACATAAACAGAAACAAAGAAAAAAATGCTAAATAATTCTTTAGTGCTCTTCATACATACAGACCAACTTTTTTCAATTTTAGGCATTACAACCATAATCTGTGCTAAAGTATGAATTAATGTTAAGAGGGCATAAAGAAGTCTTCTGTCATGACTGCCATACAAAATGGAACTAACTGCGGTTTAAATACATTGTAGCATTCACTGATAACAGTATATACAATGTAGTTATCGCTGTTAACAATATAATACAATGTAGTACTCACTGATAACGGTATAATACAATGTAGTACTCACTGATAACGATATAATACAATGTAGTACTCAGTGATAACAACATAATACAATGTAGTACTCAGTGATAACTGTATAATACAATGTAGTACTCACTGATAACAGTATAATACAATGTAGTACTCACTGATAACAGTATAATACAATGTAGTACTCGCTGATAACAGTATAATACAATGTAGTACTCACTGTTAACAACATAATACAATGTAGTACTCAGTGATAACTGTATAATACAATGTAGTACTCACTGATAACAGTGTAATACAATGTAGTACTCGCTGATAACAGTATGATACAATGTAGCACTCACTGATAACAGTATATACAATGTAGTACTCACTGTTACCAATATAATACAATGTAGTACTCGCTGATAACAGTATGATACAATGTAGCACTCACTGATAACAGTATATACAATGTAGTACTCACTGTTACCAATATAATACAATGTAGTACTCGCTGATAACAGTATAATACAATGTAGTACTCACTGATAACAGTATAATACAATGTAGTACTCACTGATAACAGTATAATACAATGTAGTACTCACTGACAACAGTATAATACAATGTAGTACTCGCTGATGACAGTATAAGATAATGTAGTACTCACTGATAACAGTATAATACAATGTGGTACTCACTGATAACAGTATGATACAATGTAGTACTCACTGATAACGGTATAATACAATGTGATACTCACTAATAACGGTATAATACAATGTGGTACTCACTGATAACCGTATAATGCAATGTAGTACTCACTGATAACGGTATAATACAATGTGGTACTCACTGATAACCGTATAATGCAATGTAGTACTCACTGATAACGGTATAATACAATGTGGTACTCACTGATAACAGTATAATACAATGTAGTACTCACTGTTACCAATATAATACAATGTAGTACTCGCTGATAACAGGATGATACAATGTAGTACTCGCTGATAACAGTATAATACAATGTGGTACTAACTGATAACGGTATAATACAATGTGGTTCTCACTGAAAACGGTATAATACAATGTGGTACGCACTAATAACGGTATAATACAATGTGATACTCATTAATAACGGTATAATACAATGTGATACTCATTAATAACGGTATAATACAATGTGATACTCACTAACAACGGTATAATACAATGTGGTACGCACTAATAACGGTATAATACAATGTAGTACTCGCTGATGACAGTATAAGATAATGTAGTACTCACTGATAACAGTATATACAATGTAGTACTCACTGTTAACAATATAATGCGATGTAGTACTTGCTGATAACGGTATAATACAATGTGATACTCATTAATAACGGTATAATACAATGTGATACTCACTAATAACGGTATGATACAATGTGGTACTCACTGATACCGGTATAATACAATGTAGTACTCACTGATAACGGTATAATCCAATGTGGTACTCACTGATAACGGAATAATACAATGTAGTACTCACTAATAACGGTATAGTACAATGTGGTACTCACTGATAACGGTATAATACAATGTAGTAATCAATGATAACGGTATAATACAATGTAGTACTCACTGTTAACAATATAATACGATGTAGTACTTGCTGATAACGGTATAATACAATGTAGTACTCGCTGATAACAGTATGATACAATGTAGTACTCGCTGATAACAGTATGATACAATGTAGTACTCACTGATAACAGTATATACAATGTAGTACTAACTGATAACGGTATAATACAATGTAGTACTCGCTGATAAAGGTATAATACAATGTAGTACTCACTGTTAACGATATAATACAATGTAGTACTCACTGATAACGGGATAATACAACGTAATACTCACTGATAACAGTATAATAAAGTAGTAATCACTGTTAATGGTATAATACAATGTAGTAATCACTGTGAATGGTATAATCTGATATAGTACTTACTGTAGGGCATTCGTTAGATTTATCCATCCAGTCGGAGTAACAACCTGCACAGAAGGAGTGCATGCAGGGCTGCAGACTGAAATTAAAATAATTACATAGTTTATTTTTGGAAAAACACCGATTCATTTTTCATAACCATGGTATTTCTCTAAACTCAATTTAAAACTGTTTTCATCAATAAAAGGACTGGCAGGAGATGGTCTCCAATTGGTTGTATGTCACTTGTCAATAGCAGTATTTCAGGTTGAACCTTCACCTACCAAAAATGCAACAGCACGTCTAGATCTTAACACTTTCTAATGCGTCAACAACATTATAAGCTTTAACATGGAAGGCTATGCTGTAACTTTGTCAATGTCTAAAATAAATGTTTGGTTCTTGCAGTTATAGTGATTCAGTCTTGTACAGACCTATTTTGATATATTTTTTCAGTTAGAAATCATTATTACTCCAGATAATATAGAAGTATATTTAAACCCAAAATCTTGTAACAAGGGTTAAGGTAGGGTGGGTGGCAATAGGGGTGATGACCATGTCCAAACTTTATCCTTTCATGGAATTGCAGCATAAAATATGTTGTTCTTTTGATACTTTTTAACAAATGAAAATAAATCCATTAGTCTCCCATCTCTTCAAAACACCTACTTCCTGTTTAAACACTCTACTTTCCCTGACACATATCTCTACATGTATTTGTTTGTTACTGAATACAGTGGAACCCGCTTATTATTAATATATTCTATTTGCCAGAGAAAAATATCATAAAAATTGATCAAGCTGTTTTCGATAATTTTTATGTCGTCTGAACCGGAAGTGAGATGCCCTTCATTAATCAGACATAGATTGATGTGTTAACATGGAAAAATATAAATACAAACTGATAAAGTAATAATTGAAATAATTTGTAAATTGTTATTTATAACAGTGTGTTTGAAAAATTCGAAAAAATTTCGTTTTGCAGTCGTAATGATCAGTATGTATATTCTACTTTCACTTTCAAATAAGTTGTGTTACATTTTGTCCCATAAGCGTAAAAACATTTTGCCGCACTATGTTAATCATGATCACGGGACAATCACATGCCTCACAAGTGGTGCGGTGAAATAAACAATAACAATTAAAAACACAAAATATTCCCTTTTTAACAATAATCAAATATTATATTTAATGAAAATTGGTGTAAATTGTAAATAAATATGAAATGTTTTGTTCTGGTGAGGACAACAAAAAACACCTTAGTCCACCAATCAGTACTTTCATCACAAAGGACATCAATATTCTGATGTCACTGTCAGGAAACCTAATGTGAAATCCTCTCCTGTGGAGAACACCAAGATGTCCTTGGTTACCAAGTTGCTGAATAGTTTCTCTTAATGATTTAATAATCTTAATGATGATGATGATTTTGCCCCTTATCATCTTGCCTTGATAGTATTTTTCAAAGTTATCAATTCAACCAAGTTTCTGAACATCTTTAAATGCACGGGGCACTACTGAAAAATAGTGAATGCACTTTGACAATAAGCTAATGAATGATTGAGTCCAATGTAAATTATATGAAGTCAATAACAATCAGTCTACAAAGCTATGAAATGGTGGGCATACTTTTCTTTTGAGTGGAACACTTTTAAGACAAGGACAGTTTCCTCTGGTTTTCATAGTGATTATACACACTTTATCAGACAGAGTACTCAACTTTATAATCAGTCTGGTCTCCCAAGCCAAAGGGACACAACTCTTGTTGTGCACAGCATTTACCAATACATATACAGGTACCTTAAACTGCTGACTTAAAACCTGAACACTCCTGAAAATGGGGAGATACTAATAAATATAGAGAAGCAGATGATCGTGGGTTATACTTAATGAATGTGGAAGCTTTTAAAGACCCTCATGAAATAGATGCAGGAGATGGGTTATTTCTCTTGTCAGTTAGCAGGTATGGGTAAAGTGTATTATTGTAATTAATAATGTGAACAATTTATATGATTTAGACAATTAACGATAACTGTCAATGTACCCACCTGATGCAGTCATGCAGAAGTTCCTGACATATGGTACAGATTAAAGCTTCCTCAATCTCATCAGGTCTATCCTCACAGGGAACACTGGTGGCAGCCTCCCCAGGCTTACTGGTACAATCCTTCTTAGTGTCTTCAGAAGTAATCTCCTCTTGAACATCTTTGTCTCCAGGAGGTGTGTTTCCCTTATCATCTTTGTCCTCTGTAGTTGTCTTTCCTTTATCATCTTTGACCTCAGGAGGTGTCTTTCCCTTATCATCTATGACCTCAGGAGTTGTCTTCCCCTGGCTATCTCGCACCTCACCCTGAGTACCAGAGGATCCTTGCTCACCGCTGGTCTCTCCTTTCTTTACACGTTTAGTTGGGGGTTCACTTGTAGATGTGTTTGGTTCATCCTCCTGATCATTTGATAAAAAAATAAAGTTTAACATTTTCTAGATTTGTATTTCAAATTATAACAAAAAATATTAATTATTCACGATGTCAATGACCCCGACACATCATGAAAATTCCACTTAACTTTGTATATTCCTGACATCGCAAGTCCATGACAGAGTGACACAGATTTTGAAAAACGCTCAAAAAAATCTTTAAACAGTGGTTTCTTTGGTGTATTATTTTATATGAATTAGAATGTGGATAATCCTACTGTAGTTTGAGATTTGCGGTTTTATATCGCAATTATCCTGTCGCAAATATCCTATTACTGGCTCCATCACAGGTCACCAATAACACTCAATTTGCAATAGTATAATCCCAACACACTGCTGCAAATCTCAAAATACAGTAGGGTTATTCCCTAAATATGTAGCCAATAACTGGTCTTGATGTTATCTTAAATTGTCATAAAACTCCAGTATTAGATAACAGAGCTTCCAAATACAAGTATTCCGCCTTTGCGTATTGCAGAGTTATCTTCTCTTGAGAGCAGGTATTGATTGTTACGTCATTTGTTTGTGAGAGTAACGTCATCAATTTTTGAGAAAACGACGTAATTTATCATTACCTGTTCTCAAGAGAAGATAACTCTGCAATACGCAAAGGCGGAATACATGTATAGAGGCATATAATAAAACAGAGCTAAGGCTACCAGAGTCATCAACACCTATACTGTACAATGTACTCACAGCTGATCTCTTCTTACTGGTCTCACTGCTCTCCTCTTCTACTAAGTTTATGGAGTCATCTGGAAAATGTTCACATGTTCAAGAATATAGTCCAGTTAAAAGATTCTCACAAAGCAAAAGAGAATTGTTAATGATAGCTTTACTATCAGTAGTGAAATCAACACATATACCTATATTGTATTACATACCTGTACCTATTAAATCTTACAAAACATTGTACATGATTTTTTCAGTTAATATGTATTCCACCTAATTATATCAGATACATGGCTTATATGAAATGTTTTTACATTTACCATATAGCTTAAAAGTATTTTTTATGTTGGTAATGTGATATTGTCATTCGACTCATGACTTTTATCTACCATTGTTGTTTACTTTCAGTTTTTGAGACTCAACTAGAACCTTATCCTGGGATAATCATGACTTAATTGGCATACAAAATCATTTAAATCGTTAGTACTTGTAATTTTTAACATATGCAGATATGTGGAAATTCAAGAAATAATTTCGTCTAAGTCAATGACAAAAAACATTACACATAGTTTGGTTGTCATTACAGTAGGTAGGTATAGTTCATAAAACCTGTTGTGTTATCATTCCCACTAACGTTAGCAGGATTACAAAAGTATCCGGACTGGTCGCCCTGGGAGAATCATCAATAAATCATGCTACGGAATCGGACTACTGTTATCCTCACCTATTAATGTAGCCTCCATTTCAAATCCAGAACTGTATTCCTGTGTGGCGTTCATTTCCTTCTGCAGCTCCTCCAGATTCTGGTACATATAGCCCACATCTGTTGGGTATAAAGGTTGTAGTAATTCTCATTTCAACTTATATAGAAAATGTTGATCATTAAGCACTGTTTCCTTGGACTAACCTATTATATATACACTGTAATAACATATAGACTTCCAAAAATGTAATAACACCATTATATCATTTAACTTGCATTGATCAACCATAAAAATGTTACAAAACTCAGCTGATGAGACAACACATGGTACAACTCAGCTGATGAGACAACACATGGTACAACTCAGCTGATGAGACAACACATGGTACAACTCAGCTGATGAGACAACACATGGTACAACTCAGCTGATGAGACAACACATGGTACAACTCAGCTGATGAGACAACACATGGTACAACTCAGCTGATGAGACAACACATGGTACAACTCAGCTGATGAGACAACACATGGTACATCTCAGCTGATGAGACAACACATGGTACAACTCAGCTGATGAGACAACACATGGTACATCTCAGCTGATGAGACAACACATGGTACAACTCAGCTGATGAGACAACACATGGTACATCTCAGCTGATGAGACAACACATGGTACAACTCAGCTGATGAGACAACACATGGTACATCTCAGCTGATGAGACAACACATGGTACAACTCAGCTGATGAGACAACACATGGTACATCTCAGCTGATGAGACAACACATGGTACAACTCAGCTGATGAGACAACACATGGTACATCTCAGCTGATGAGACAACACATGGTACAACTCAGCTGATGAGACAACACATGGTACATCTCAGCTGATGAGACAACACATGGTACAACTCAGCTGATGAGACAACACATGGTACATCTCAGCTGATGAGACAACACATGGTACAACTCAGCTGATGAGACAACACATGGTACATCTCAGCTGATGAGACAACACATGGTACAACTCAGCTGATGGGACAACACATGGTACAACTCAGCTGATGGACAACACATGGTACAACTCAGCTGATGAGACAACAAACACAACTTACTGATGTCATCTTCATCCTTCTTGTAGACAACAAAGAACTCATCGCCATGACTTAACTCTTTTTTCTGTCAACAATGAAAATAACTTTTTGTCAGATTACCAGTTACGGTAGTTACATTAACTGATTCTATTACCTGGCTATAGTATCAATTAGTAACAGTACTTAGGTAGCATTTAGTTTATTAGCAATGAGCAACAATTATCAGTAAAACAGAAATTATCTAATAAATTAGTATAAATATTTTCTTTTCCAGTCATGTTATTCACAGTTCGTAAAACTTCAGATTGAGTGTATTAAAAATACAAAGTACATACCATCCAAAACAATTAAACATTGACTGCTATATTATGCACAGTTATATATACAGCGCAGATTAACTTAGAGGTTTGTTAAGCTGACCATGATTTGTCTGTTTTATTTATCAGTTGATTTTTTCAAAATTTTTGAAATTAATGAAACTACTCAAAAAAGGTAATTGTCTAAAATAAAATAAAATACAATGAATTGATTCACAACATCTGAATATTTTGTTAATAAACTAATGTTACAAACTGATGATTGTCTCACAGCTGATGTAGTACTTACACTGCCTTTTGTTATTTTCACGCTAACATTCAGCAGTGTTCCATTGGTACTGAAAATAATACTGATACTTAGTAAAACAATTGTGCTATCTCATGCTTACAGCTAACAGCAAATTAACTAGTAACATCAAAACAAGCCAAAACACCTGTATCTATTCTCATGACGTTCACAACACAAGAGAGAAAAGGAAAAATCTTCAAGTCTTAAAAGGTTCAACAACAAAAATTTAATCCAATAATGATATAATTTCTAGTTATTATGATTCTAAATTCAATAAAACTTTTATTAAAACTTTTAAACATCCATCAGAATAAAAATACAGGACATTTTACAAACTACATTGTAATTGGTTAGCTCAAAATGTCACAAGAAAATAATGTAGATTTTGAAACGTCACATTATAAGCACATAAGGTTATATTTAGCATTACTTTAACTGGTACCAAGCATTTATGTATACATCTAGCTTCATTGTGTTATATAATTTTACCTTGTGTCACAAAGCCAGACTTGGCCTTCAGCATCCTTTTCAATATGGCAGTGTCTACCTGATACAAGCTTGTTGTTGGCCAAGGATATGTCACAATCTAAAACCACAATAAAAAGGATTTAAATTATAAATATGGTGAATATACATGTATGTATGCATGAAGAATTTGAAATACCTATGAGCTATTCACTTACGATGGGAAATTGAAATAAAAATAAACTGTGAGTTTTCAACATAATTTTTAGTATGTATTTGAATCTTAGTATACCCGTTAATATAACCTTGTGTCAGAAAAAACAATGCTGATGTATAAAATCTGGAAAAAGTTTATTTTTAAAATAAACACAAAATTATCGAAAAACAAAAATGTTGCATGGTCATTCTGTATCCTACCACCAAAACAACAGTATGCTACAAAACCACAACAAGGCAGGAGGTGATCTTAACTTTGATAAGTTACAAGACCATCTGATTGATGATGCTTCCCGTGTATGTGGTATACACGGAGGGATGATCTAATACATTTTTTCTTTCAATGTCCTCTGTATTCAAATATTAGGCATCATATTACCACTATTTATGTTCTATTAGGATATTTAAATATGCACTGTTTATTATATGGTATTAGTAATGCATCTGACCAATTAAATAAAACTTTTATTATACATGTTGACTTTTATATTAAATCATCAAAACATTTCGTTACTTATACGTGCTAGACAAATTCCAAATTAATATTCATGTATTGTTGTTATTATTATTATTCAGGCAAGTTTTGTCCCTTAAACAATGAGTATTACACATAAGCTGGTGTGGGTGCGGGTGTGCATGTGTGTGAGAGGAAAACAAATTACAACATTCTATATATTCAAGCATTGTACATAGCTACCAGAAATAGAAGACGACTGATATAGGCGTAGCATGTTGTCTTATTCTTTTGTCAATACTGTTCCAATATCTTCTTTAATGTTAACTTATATGTTTGTATTATATATGTATTGTCAATAAAATACTTTTGAAAAAAAATTGGGAAATATCATCAGTGTTCCCACATGAACAGGTTTGGGAAAATATCAGGAGTTTGGAAAAAATAAAATCTGCAATGAGATAAGCAAAATGTTTCCTCTAGCTGTTTCTTACAGTAAAACGTACAGCAATAAATAAACACATCAATTTTCACTGTTTGTGTTAATTAAATTTCATTTTGTAGTACACATTCTGTAAATCTGTCAGCTGACCAAATTTTTCCCATAATCCAAAATTAAATAATCTTCAATATATTTGTTATAATAGAATGTACATTGTAGGAATTTATTTTCCTGTTTTGTATCTGTAATAGACATGCTTGATATTCATTTGCATAATTTGCATGTACTGAATGTCAGTTCAATGTACCTTGTAGTACAGTGTAGTGCTATACAGTTTGGTAACTCAAAATCTATCTCTTGTTTGCATGTTTGTTGTGTAGATATGTTATGGTTGAATGTGTTTTTCTGGTGCCTGTACATGTAGGTTGCCTTTCTCTTTTATTTTTGAATCAAATTATCTCTCACATACAAGGGGCAATCATTCATTATGTGGAATGATTATGGCTGTAAATCAGCTGCGATAATGTAGCTTCAGACGACGAGATTTTTTTATATATATTTCATCGTCAGAGCTATGAAGCAGTCCTAGGCCTATGCCAACTAATTAATGGAGCAAAATCAAAAGCGTTTTTTTCTGTAAGATTACACATAGTTCACCCCTCATTAGTCATATGAGTATAATGTTATCAAAATAATGTATAATTGTTGAAATAACTAATCCTTACTAATAAAAAGAATTAATTCATGAACTTAATTCGCTAAGTCCGTCTGGAGAAAAATAGAAACGACTGTCATGACAGATCATGCGTCATGTTATCTCAATAATCCTTTCCATATATTGCCTGCATGGTCAAAAATAGTTACTACTGATGCCGGGTATTACTATTAGTACTATAGGCAGCATATCCTGTAGGCTGTATAACAATTTTAACTTCTTCTTTCATATGCATAAATTTCTTAAACCATGTCCCTCAATGGAGTTTATCGCATGCTAGGCCTATATTGGCTATAATGTCAACAATTATTTTGACCATTTGAAATTGTTACTTAAGTGGTGTACATGTGCAGGGATGTGTAGTCCACTACACATCCCTGACATGTGCGACCACTTAATGTATTTACATAGTTTCAAGAACCCGAGAATGTTGGGTCAAATTATCACAAACTTGCACCGATATAAATTTGCAGTAGAAACGTTTGATGCATACGATGTAAAATTCTCTATAAATAAATGCCACATGATAGCAAAAGATGCGCTCTTTTCAGGCTACACTTTTTTATACTCTTCTTTGTAAACATATATTGTAAACACATTTGTAGTTTTGCCCTATCAGCACGATTCCGTCCGCCCTCTCCCGTTCACCTTTTGCTCGACCAATGGTAAACTCGTCTTCAATTAGCGGGAAAGGCGGACTGTCAACATCTGTGACACTCACAAGTTGGCCCCACGAACCGTCAACAGAATCCTCCATCCTTTAAATATAGCAAAATCTCGATTTACAAAAAGGACTGCAAGTTTGTTGACATCGTTGATAAATACCGGAAGTGTAATAGATTTTACTCAGCCAGCGCAATGCAAATTAAGTTCTTCAGTTGAACCAGCAAAAGTACCAGTGCTCCGTCTACCATAAGACGTCAAACAGTCAGAGCAGTTCGAATTTGAAGGCAAATAGCTTGATAAAACATCAAGCAAATATATACTTGAATTGCGAACAATATTATATAAAAAAAACAAACAGAAGCCATGCAGTCAGTCCTCCGTTGATTCCCTTATATAATTACTGATTTAAAAAACCGATTGTAATGTGAAAACATTACTCTTCTCTTTCCAGGGACGTATATAGGCCTACTACTATTGGTTTATATGTCTCTATAACTCTTTTATATTAAAAAACATTTTCAATATTCACAGTACTTTTTAATGGAAAATGGGCATATTTCTGTTTTAAGATACATATTAGAGAAGAGTTTTAAGATTTGATAAAGGTCAATTCCTACTGTAATATAATAACGATTAATTTTAACTTTATAGAGAACTTCAAAAAGTAAAAAATGAGGACTGTTTCCCCATTTGGCTTGCTATATCATGAACCTACGTAGTTGATAACAAGGAGTCAAGTGTAAGTTTCCTGTTGTCAGTAGATAAAATAACTAAATTATATTTGGTATAGAATCATTTGGAATATATTTGGTTAAGTAGTCGGCGTTCTCATTTATGCATTTTAGCTACATGCACATATGGTTAAAACTCAAAAGAATCCTGATGTTGGATCATTACCGGAATCGGTTGTAAATGCAGAAACCACGAAGGACTTTGAGATCCTGTTGGATAATCACCTGAAGGACACTATTTACAATAATTACTGATAATGACTTTTAAAATAACTCTTTTGGGAAAGTTTATATATGTTAACCAGTGAGAATATAATATTTTTATACTATGTTTTGTGATATGGACTTAGAGGCTTACAGCCTGCGTCCATAATTTTTCAATTAAATTCAATTAAATTAAAATACGATGATGGAATAATGGAAAGACATTTATGATGATTCAAGATATGGAGCAAAATACATCGTAACCATGTATATGGTGCTAGCGGCATTGTAAACATGGTGTTGGTGTCATGGTGTTGGCGTTATTCTTTCCAGAGTGTTTGCGTCATTGTAACCATGGTGTCTATATCATTGTAACCATAGTGTGTGGAATCTTTTTAACCACGTTGTGTGCCATCATTGTTTCTTTTGTGCTGGCGTCATTGTAACCACGCTTTGTGGGACATCATGTTTCCGTGGGGTTGGCGTCATTATAACCATGGTGTTTGTATCATTGTAACCATAGTGCGTGGCATCATTGTTTCAATGGTGTTTGCGTCATCGTAACCACAATGGCAGCATGTTTTCATGATGTATTGCCGTCATTGTTTTCATATCGTGTTAACGTTGATTTCATGGTGTTGGCATCATTCATTATTACCATTGTGTTGGCGTCATTTTACCAATGATGTGTGGCATCTTTTTAACCACAACGTTGGCATCATCGTAACTATGGTGTTGGCATCATTTTAACTGTAATGTTGGCGTCATTGCAACCACGATGTGTGGCATCACTGTAACCATGGTGTTGATGTCATTGCAAACACAGTGTGTGGCCTCATTGTAACTATGGTGTGTGGCATAATTGTAACCATGGTGTTGGCGTAATTGTAACCACGATGTGTGGCATCACTGTAACCATGGTGTTGATGTCATTGCAAACACAGTGTGTGGCCTCATTGTAACTATGGTGTGTGGCATCATTGTAACCATGGTGTTGGCGTAATTGTAACCATGGTGTGTGGCATCATTGTAACCAGGGTGTTGGTATCATTGTCCTATGGAGTTGGCGTTATTGTAACCGTGGTGTTGGCCTCATTGTTATAATGTACTATGCTGTTGGCATCATTATAACCATGGTGTTGACGTCAATGTAACCGTGGTGTTGGCATCATTATAACCAAAGTGTGTGGCTTCATTGCTACCACGGTGTTTGGTATCATTGTTACTTTATGGTGTTGGCATCATTTTACTGTGATGTTGGCGTCATTGTTACTATGGTGTTGGCGTCATTGTTACTATGGTGTTGACGTAATTGTTATGGTGTTGGCGTCATTTTAACTGTGATGTTGGCGTCATTGTTACTATGGTGTTGGCGTAATTGTTACTATGGTGTTGGCGTAATTGTTATGGTGTTGGCGTCATTGTTACTATGGTATTGGCTTCATTGTTACTATGGTGTTGTCGTCATTTTAACTGTGATGTTGGCGTCATTGTTATTATGATGTTGGCGTCATTATTACTATTGTGTTGGCGTCATTTTAACTGTGATGTTGGCGTCATTGTTACTATGGTGTTGGCGTCATTATTGCTATGGTGTTGGCGTCATTTTAACTGTGATGTTGGCGTCATTGTTACTATGGTGTTGGCGTAATTGTTACTATGGTGTTGGCGTAATTGTTATGGTGTTGGCGTCATTTTAACTGTGATGTTGGCGTCATTGTTATTATGGTGTTGGCGTTATTGCTATGGTGTTGGCGTCATTTTAACTGTGATGTTGGCGTCATTGTTACTATGGTGTTGGCGTCATTATTTCTATGGTGTTGGCGTCATTTTAACTGTGATGTTGGCGTCATTGTTACTATGGTGTTGGCGTAATTGTTACTATGGTGTTGGCGTAATTGTTATGGTGTTGGCGTCATTTTAACTGTGATGTTGGCGTCATTGTTACTATGGTGTTGGCGTAATTGTTATGGTGTTGGCGTCATTTTAACTGTGATGTTGGCGTCATTATTACTATGGTGTTGGCGTCATTTTAACTGTGATGTTGGCGTCATTGTTACTATGGTGTTGGCGTAATTGTTACTATGGTGTTGGCGTTATTGCTATGGTGTTGGCGTCATTTTAACTGTGATGTTGGCGTCATTGTTACTATGGTGTTGGCGTAATTGTTACTATGGTGTTGGCGTAATTGTTATGGTGTTGGCGTCATTTTAACTGTGATGTTGGCGTCATTGTTACTATGGTGTTGGCGTAATTGTTATGGTGTTGGCGTCATTTTAACTGTGATGTTGGCGCCATTTTAACTGTGATGTTGGCGTCATTGTTGCTATGGTGTTGGCGTCATTTTAACTGTGATGTTGGCGTCATTGTTACTATGGTGTTGGCGTAATTGTTATGGTGTTGGCGTCATTTTAACTGTGATGTTGGCGCCATTTTAACTGTGATGTTGGCGTCATTGTTACTATGGTGTTGGCGTCATTTTAACTGTGATGTTGGCGTCATTATTACTATTGTGTTGGCGTCATTTTAACTGTGATGTTGGCGCCATTGTTACTATGGTGTACTACGTTAAGGTATTACTGACCACGGTTTTTAGGTTGATTTAGTTTTCTTTAGCTTTCATTGTAACTGTGATGTTGGGTTAAATGTAACCGAGATGTTGGGGCTTCACTTATAACGATGTTGGGATCATTGTGCCCATATAGTTTTAGGATGTATCAAGCATGTGCTGTGTTGCAAATTGTCACTTTTATAAGTCGTACAGCATAATGAAGTACAAGTTCATTACCGATATAGACAGAAGTACTATATCTAGCCCTATTAGTACATATATAGTAGGGAATATGGGGCAAAGAAGTAATTCCAACAGTATGGACAAGTTTAGGGAATACATATAGTATACATGGACATAGAAGATGTAGTACAGCATACCGATAACTCTACTAAGCATGTACAGTACAGTGAGTATACAGACATATTAGTTAGTATCATAGTATAACTGGGCAATTGTTACCATCGCCATTGTATTGGAAATTGAACAGCAGACGAATCCAGCCAATGAACGAAGATGTAGATGTATTTACGAGTAGGTATCAGCGATCGATCTTGACTTTTATGCGAGAACAAGAATTACTTCCCCTGATAATATATTAATCAACATGAGATGTGGAGTCTGATGTCAGTGAAGATGTCAGGATCTGGGGAGGGGACGGGCGTAGACAGTCTGTAGGTAAGTAAACTAATGTGGTACGTGCCTACTACATACGTACTACACAATGTATTGGAGCACAAAACACGTATTCTTGTTCGTTTGTGTACATGTGTGTCAGTCCGTAATATATACAAACACACGGAAGTGTGTCTAGCTCATGGCCTGGTTATAAGATACGGCAGTTATACGTCGTTATTGCCTAAATGCAAATCACTAAATGTGCTAAAAGTGTACAGTCACGCGTGTACAACTTCCACTATTAACAGCTGCGTTATATACTACACAGTCATATAAGTAGCCTGTCTGTCTGGTTCACTACAGACCTGGTAACAATGTTATACTGTTATGTAAAGTTCAGTCTCTCTTTCTATATATAGAAATCTTTACAACACGTCTTTAGCGCTTTCATCTCACCAAGGAGGTTCTTCAGACTGTTGAGTTGAAGCTCCAATAAATAAAGACGTAAAGTGTAAGGTGTTGTGTACGTTCTATGATATGATATATCTGTACGGAATTGTGCACGTTCTAGTATGATATGATATGTCTGTACGGAGTTGTGTACGTTCTAGTATGATATGATATGTCTGTACGGAGTTGTGTACGTTCTAGTATGATATGATATGTCTGTATGGAGTTGTGTACGTTCTAGTATGATATGATATGTCTGTATGGAGTTGTGTACGTTCTAGTATGATATGATATGTCTGTATGGAGTTGTGTACGTTCTAGTATGATATGATATGTCTGTATGGAGTTGTGTACGTTCTAGTATGATATGATATGTCTGTATGGAGTTGTGTACGTTCTAGTATGATATGATATGTCTGTATGGAGTTGTGTACGTTCTAGTATGATATGATATGTCTGTATGGAGTTGTGTACGTTCTAGTATGATATGATATGTCTGTATGGAGTTGTGTACGTTCTAGTATGATATGATATGTCTGTATGGAGTTGTGTACGTTCTAGTATGATATGATATGTCTGTACGGAGTTGTGTACGTTCTAGTATGATATGATATGTCTGTACGGAGTTGTGTACGTTCTAGTATGATATGATATGTCTGTACGGAGTTGTGTACGTTCTAGTATGATATGATATGTCTGTACGGAGTTGTGTACGTTCTAGTATGATATGATATGTCTGTACGGAGTTGTGTACGTTCTAGTATGATATGATATGTCTGTACGGAGTTGTGTACGTTCTAGTATGATATGATATGTCTGTACGGAGTTGTGTACGTTCTAGTATGATATGATATGTCTGTACGGAGTTGTGTACGTTCTAGTATGATATGATATGTCTGTACGGAGTTGTGTACGTTCTAGTATGATATGATATGTCTGTACGGAGTTGTGTACGTTCTAGTATGATATGATATGTCTGTACGGAGTTGTGTACGTTCTAGTATGATATGATATGTCTGTACGGAGTTGTGTACGTTCTAGTATGATATGATATATCTGTACGGAGTTGTGTACGTTCTAGTATGATATGATATGTCTGTACGGAGTTGTGTACGTTCTAGTATGTATGATATGTCTGTACGGAGTTGTGTACGTTATAGTATGATATGATATGTCTGTATGGAGTTGTGTACGTTCTAGTATGATATGATATGTCTGTACGGAGTTGTGTACGTTGTTGTATGCCATTGCTTATCTGTACGGAGTTGTGTACGTTCTAGTATGATATGATATATCTGTACGGAGTTGTGTACGTTGTTGTATGTCATTGCTTATCTGTACGGAGTTGTGTACGTTCTAGTATGATATGATATGTCTGTACGGAGTTGTGTACGTTGTAGTATGCCATTGCTTGTTTGTACAGTGTTGTGTACGTTGTAGTATGACATTGTATGCTTGTACAGTGTTGCGTACGTTGTAATTTGACATTGTATGTCTGTACAGTGTTAGTTTACGTAGTAGTATAATGTTGTGTGCCTGTACATTGTTGGTCCGTTGTAGTATGACACTATATGTCTTTAAAGTGTTAATTTACGTTGTAATATGACATTGTTTGCCTGTACAATGTATATATCATGTTGTAGTATGTCTGTTTAGTATAGTATAACATGCATAAACCCTCGGAGAACAGTTGCCGTTCTAATTATTGAACCTTTTATTTAGTCACTGACAACATACGACTGTTTCGTATTCTGATAAATATGATATTCCTATTTTACGAATGAACAGTACACTGGGCTATTTTATACAAAGCATGCTGTATTTTATTGAATGAAACACAACAGTCTATGCATACAATATACATACTCATTGTAACTGTTAGAAAATGACACGGGTGGCATTTCACGAAAAATGGGTGTTATTTAAATCTAAATATCACAGAAGTATATCCTAATACATATGGGAACTGTAATGGTGATTAATACTTATTTCCTATAAGAATTATGTATTCTTTTTGCACAGGGGACTGTGATAATGATTACTAAATATTGTGACCAGAGGGGTTGCGTAAGAAATCGTGCCGTAACAGTCCCCTGATAGCAACTCCTCTGATTTAAACATATTTTATTGTCGAAACAGACAAATGGATGAGAGACAATTGCAAACAACTTACAAGCTCTTCTCCACGAATACAGCATATCAATTACATTTAAATCACGTGACGTACTATGTACACAGAGATAAATTTACAAAATAATAATAATGTAGATGTATTTTTTGTCTAAATCAACTTTATCACAAAAAGTAAAGAGGGATTGGAAGAGAAAATAGTTGAAAGACGGGAAAGGAAGTCGAGAGGGAGCAGATTTGATGCCGATTGTAAAAGGTTCGTTCAGGTTGTATCAAAACGCTTTGTTGTATTCAAAAACGTCTGTACCGATTTAACTATATTGATGTTTGTTTCATAGGAGTAAATGTCACTATTTCCCCATAAAATAATTTCTAGATTAAAATCTACGTCTTTGAATAACAAAATTTGAACATGTAAAGAAGTAGTGATTCGCATCTTCCACACCGTCACCGCACACACAATTTGGGGACCGACAAATTACTACTCTTAATAAATCTGATCGTAAACCACTACAACGATGCCTTATACGGCCATGTAGTACAGAAAGATAGCGATTTCCAGTATGCAGATAATCAGGCACAGATGGAGGTACACGAGAAATTTTACTCTTAAAAGTCTGAAGAGAAAAACCGGATTTTTTGTTGTTATCTAAATTATTCCATAAATGTATAGACGACGGAACAAAAGATTTTTTTTATAATTTCAAGACGACAACGGGATGCCTGATAATTGTCTGGGTTTCTCAACTCCCTGTTTAAATCACGCCTGCTTGGTGGGATTAGGTGTTCTAAGTAAGCTGGGGCACGTTTATAGTGAATATTATAAAAAAAAATACACATTTTCTGCTCTTCTCTTCTCTGTTTTAGTGGTTTCCTGCCAGTTTCTAAATATAATGCCTCACGTGAAGCAATGGTCGTAAGACCAGAGATGACCCTAGCTGCTTCCAATTGTACTTTTTCCAAAGAGTCGGACAAATGTTCAGAGCAAACTCTTCTGGTCACAGTATTTAGTAATCGTTATCTCAGTCTGTTACTGGTAGAGAAATCGTGTAAGGAGTAGGCATATTACCCGTTGTCATGAGTACGACCACTGGTTTTAATTTTGGGTGATTGTGGTTTATTTAGGCTTATTTATAAAGGTTGAGAATGGTGGGCTAATGTTTGAGCGAACAGCTGTATGTCTGATAATTCCTGGTTCAAATGCAGTACTAATGGCGTATGCAGCTACGGTATCACTTAACTCGGCTAATTGAGATATCCTGCAGGCATTGGTATCTGGTGTCCAATTAACTCTGCTCGGAACAAAAGGAAATGTTTGTTATGTAAATGTCAATGTCTTTGACAGCACAAACAAGTTTTATTATAGACATGACGTACGTTCGTTCCTCTTATTCGATTTTTTTTATTAAGGGGGATATTCACATCAAATTTCATGTCTTTAAACCAATATATATATACAATATTTATATTTGAGGCCAATGATTAAATTGACGAATGTTTGATATATATGCGTCATATACATGAGACCCCTGCAGGTGGGGGATCGGGGAAAGAAATCGTAGGAGGCGACTAATGTAGGAACCCCCTGCAGAATTGGGGATTTGCTTTGGTGTCCTCTATTTGAGGACACAAAAGCGACCAAAATAAATCTGCTGCGCTCATTGCAATATTTGGGAACTTTATTTCTACCTCTAACTCCTTTTTATTTCCTAGCGCCTTGCTTGGCAACACCTTACTTTTGGCTTGAATGTTGAGCGTTCGCCCAGGTGAGGAAAGCAATGGGTCATGTCCCCAGGCCGGGACATACCAAAGTCCCTTAAAATGGTAGTTGTTATTCTCTGCTTAACGTGCATCATTTAGGGAAATGGTAACAACTGGTTCACCTATTGTCAGTATAATGTGACCTATGATCCTAGTTCTCTACCTATTTTGTAAGCCAAGATGTAAATAGCGAGTGATAACGAGTGTTATAATGTACCTATGATCCTCGTTCTCTACCTATTTTGTAAGCCAAGACGTAAATAACGAGTGATAACCAGTGTTATAAATATAATGTACCTATGATCCTCGTTCTCTACCTTTTTTGTCAGTGAAGATGTAAATAACGAGTGATAACGAGTGTTATAATGTACCTATGATCCTAGTTCTCAACCTATTTTGTAGGCATATATTTAATTATGTATTATACTGGTGTATCAGCTATTAAGTGTGGCAAGCATACCGGCCTTTTCCTACCACCTGTGTCCAAAATTAACGTTTTGAAGAGACTTCCCCTTGAACGATTTTCGATTGTCTCCCCTGCCAACAAGATTCCACGTCCCTACTAGGCTTTCCCAACGAAAACCACGTATAAGTTGTTTAAGTCATTTTATCTACAACAAAAGTCTTTCTTAATAACAGTACATGCATAGTTTACCTGGATTACAATTTTGTTGATGGAAACCATTGGCTCAATCGCATTTCATATAGATGCGTTTTCA